TGGGGGTGGAGCCTAAACGGGTGGAGTTAAAGGGGTGAGGCATGCACTGGGGGTGGAGCCTAAACGGGTGGAGTTAAAGGGGTGAGGCATGCACTGGGGGTGGAGCCTAAACGGGTGGAGTTAAAGGGGTGAGGCATGCACTGGGGGTGGAGCTTAAGTAGGGGTGGGGTTATGGGGTGTGGCAAGTGTTGGGGTGTGGCTTATGCGGGGGTGGGGTTAAAGGGGTGGGGCTTAATTAGGGGTGGGGCTTGCACAGGGGCATGGCCACATCTCCCGGGGGAGGAGCCCGGCTGGGATGGGTGTGCTTATGGCAGGGGCGGGGCCTGATGCTCATCAAGGGCTGTGCGGCGGCTTTTAACCCCATCGTGCCCGAACTCTGGGGGAGGCGTGGCCTCCACGGGAGGGGCGTGGCCCCCGGAAAGGGCATGTCTAACGGCGGGGCGGGGCAGGTGCTGGCGCAGCAGCGAGCGGAGCAGCAGCGTCGGGAGCTGGCGCAGGCAACGAGTTCGGATGCCCCCATGGACCCGGTGACCTTTATCCAAACGCTGCCCTCGGAACTGCGGCGTTCTGTGCTGGAGGACATGGAGGACAGCGTCCTGGCCGTCATGCCTCCCGACATCGCCGCCGAGGCCCAGGCTCTCCGACGGGAACAGGAGGCCCGGCAACGGCAACTCATGCACGAGAGGCTTTTCGGCCACTCCAGCACCTCCGCGCTCTCCGCCATTCTCCGCAGCCCTGGTGAGGCGGCCCCCCTGTCCCCCCACCCCGTATTCCTGCCCCCAACCTAGCACACGTGTCTTTTCTCCTCTTCTCCATTCTTTCCTGGCACTCCCCCCATCCTCTCCCAGCACCTCCAGTGCTCTCCTGACACCCCTTAGGTTTTCCCTGCACCTCCAATGCTCTCTTGACACCCCACATCCTTTTCTCACACCCTCAATGCTTTTCTAGCAACATTTATCTTCCTCTAGCACCCCTAATTCTTTCCTGGCACCCCTAATTCTCTCCTGGCACCTCTAATGCTTTTTTGATATTTTTTTATCCTCTTCCAGTCCCCCTAATTCTCTTCTAGCACCCCTAATTCTCTCCTGGCAACCCCAGATTTTCTCCTGGCACCTTTAATGCTTTTCTGATATTCTCTTGATCTTTCATAGTACCGCCAATCCTCTCCTGATTCTCCACATCCTTTTCCAGCCCCCTTAATTCTTTTCTGGCACCCGTAATTCTCAGCTGGCACCCCCAAATCCTCTTGCAGCACCTTTAATGCTTTTCTGATATCCTTTCAATCTCTCCTGGCACCCCTAATTCTCCCCCAACACCCTTGTCACCTCCTCCTACCCCACCCTCATCTCACAAATCCCCCCCACTTCCCCTCATGCATCCCTCTTTTCTCACCGTATTCCCCTCCCCAA